ACACAGAGTTGGATACCTGCTTGGCTGCCTGCTGTCCTGGTGTCACTGTGTGCTCTACATCTGGCAGAAGGTGGAATGTCCTCAGTCACCCAAGGTAAAGACAGAGAAGGATGCTGATGGGGAGAAACTGGGTAGGAGCCAACTAGAGAAACAGCTCTCTCGTGGGAAGCCTGGAGACTTTCTGCCCATAGGATATATCAAGGTTCTGGAGAAGTTTGGGACTCCAATTTTGGATTTTTATAAATGTGGTTGGGCCAAAGAATCAAAATGTATTAATTTGAAGCAGTTAATAGTGACTCCCCAAGTAAAACCATTTCTGCCTTTATCATATTCAGAAGGACATCCTGGGGACAACTTCTGGAGAAGATCTGAAGGCCATACTTAGAGTTGAGGGATACTAATCTGGGGCCACAGTTGCATGCGTGTTTTGATCATGATGCTTCAGAAGGTCCATGGCTGTTTATTACTTATGTTTGCCTAACTCGGTTAGGTAGATTTTAGGACGCAACCACTGCAAGCTAAAGGTGAGGATAGGTCCCAGAAGAATGAGGAAGGAGCTAACTAGGGAGCAAATTCTCAGGAATATATATAGCATGGGGCTCTTTCCAGGTGGATTTCAGACCAGGAATCATTCATTATCCATACATTGGTCAAAGTGGATGCTTTGACTTACAGGAGTAGCAAAATCTCTGGATTTCCCATCAACTACAGTGTGTTCTCAGCATCCAGAGATGATGGCAGAAAGCAATTAGGTGCACAGCTTGTAATTCACACAAAAGCTTATTCTGAGTCCCTCCAAAGGCACAAGGATGAAAGAGGTCAAGAACACCATCTTGGAATTCCAGAAGATCTGAAGAAGGGGTGGAGAGCAATTAATCCACACTCTCTTTGCTTGTGGTCTTGTCCCTCAAAGCAATTCACAGAGGACTTAGCAAAAGGGACCAACTCACTCTTTTCATTCATCCACCAATGAGTTGCTATAGCAGAGAATTCTGGTCCATAAACCACAATCCCTGGTTCTGGAAACTTCCCAGTGTAATATTAGTTGTTGAGGGATTGTGACCGAGATACAATTCATCTTCTGAGTCTCAGTGATAGCTTCTTTATTGTGTTGTTTTTTTTCTTACCCTTTCTTTTCAGATTTACAGATATTATTCCCTGCTTTCTTACCTTCCTATCATTCTGTGCCTCGCCATGCTGAGCCTTTGGTACCCCATGAAACTGGTTGAGAGCTTCAAAGGGGACGCCAAGATGGCGGCAGAGAAGGTAATCTCTCTTGACATTGCCCTCTCGAGCTCAAAAGGTTGCGACAATAAGCCACAATAAGAAGAGACCATCAGCTTTCATTTTCCCCAATTGATCTGGCAGAGGGTTTTCCTGTTCTTAAATATTATTTTATACAGGTAATCCTCGACTTATAATTATTCGTTTAGAGACCGCTCAAACTTTCAAAGGCACTGGAAAAAAGTGACTTACAACCAGTTTTCACACTTGCAACATCCCGGGGTCACGTGGCCACCGTTTGCACCCTCCCCAGCTGGCTTTCTAAAAGTAGATCTGGTGTCTGGGAACCTCAGAGTGAATTTTGCTTTGGCAATTCTATGCCATGTATTCAATAAACAGTAAGAATTTCGGAATGAAATGATCCTGGGGATTTATTTGGATTCTCGTGCTGGATGTTGACACAAAATCAATGGGAGAAGTTAAGTTCGCTTAACAACCGCATATTCAGTTAACAAGGGCTGTGGTTTGCTTAACATCCATGGCAAAAAAAGAATGTAAAATTGGCCAGGACGCATTAACAACGGCCTTGCTTAGCAATGGAATTTTTCTTGCCCCCTTTGTTAAGCGAATCACTGCACTTGTTAAGTTAATAGCACGATCGTTAAGCGAATCTGGCTTCCCCCATTGACTTTGCTTGTCAAAAGGTCGCAAAAGGGGATCGCGTGACCCCCTGGGACACTGCAACGGTCATAAGTATGAGCCAGTTGCCAAGTGTCTGAATTTTGATCACGTGACCACAGGGATGCTGTAATGGTCCTAAGTGTGAAAAAGGGTCATAACTCACTTTTTCCAATGCCGTCGTAACTTCGGTTACTAAACAAATGGCTGTAAGTCAAGGAGTACCGGTATGAAGTACATCCAAAACGTAGGAAAGAGAGCCATGGGGTTTTTTTAAAAAAAAAATCTGCTTTTTTTCTGAATGACCTCTCATTGATTTATTTGTGTCAACCCAGCTTCTCAGCACGAGAAGATTTGAGTCTTAATGTTCAGAGGAGAACTGATGCCTTATTGTACAGTTGTATAAAAAAAAGCGGCTTGTTGGCGCAACAGTGTTGTAATCCCCTCGGACGGTTGTGTAAGAAATCCCTGCTTTGCAAACCAACAATAGCCAGAGGAATGCTTGGTGCCTCTGGAAATTTGCATGTGATTGTCACGTTTCACCAATTCCAACCGTTTATACGATCCTGAGAGGAAAGGAAGGGATATATATATATATTTTTTTCTCGTTGTGTACCCAGCCTTCTCTCTCTTTTCCTCACAATTCTCAGAATGACAACGCCGTTCTTCTTCTTCTTTCGCGCCAGATGCGGTCGGGCATCTGCGCAGCCATGTAATTAGCACCTTTGCAACTGTTATCACGACTCGCGGAGCAGATGGAAATTATGCGAGACATTTTTAATGGGTGGCATGAATCAGGCCTATTTCTTTCGTTCTATTTACTTGCTAAAAAGCACAGGGAGAACGTAGGAGAAACAGCCAGGAGAGGCAGCTTTGCAACCAGGTCGGTGTAGAATAGCAATTTCCTAATTGTGGGATCCTTGACCCAAAGGTGCTTTTTTCAGGAGGCAACTGGGCTTTCTTGTTTTTCTTTGAAGACGTTTTGCTTCTCATCCAAGAAGCTTCTTCAGCTCTGGCTGGTTTGAAAGAGGAGTCAAAGAGGCCATCGATGTCAAAATTGAACAGCCCTCTCTCAACAGAGGGGGAGGGATATGACACCATCTATCTCCAGTCTACCACACCGTCCTTTCAGCGGTTCCAAGAAGGCTCCACACCCATTTGCACTACTTCAGGTGACCCTGAGGGCACAGAGAAACCTCGAAGGACTCTCTAAAAGAAGGCAAATGACCAGCTTTCTGCAAGGAGCATAAATCCTTCCATTCCCCACCATCCAGCCAGAGCTGAAGAAGCTTCTTGGGTGTGAAGCGAAACATCTTCAAGAAAAACAAGAAGGTCCAGTTGCTTCTTGAAAAAGCACCTTTGGGACAACCATGACCTGGAGGACTGAGAATCTCCATAGACATGTGGGGTCCTTGGTGCTCTCTGAGCAAGGTGGTCTGCTTGCAGATGTTTCATTGCCCAATTAGGTAACTTCATCAGTGCTAATGAGTGTGACTTGTTCCATGTTTATACACAGTAACCTCTTCTTTCAGTGTTGGTGGGGATATGGTTTTCTCTTCAGTGATTCCCTAATTAGGTTGTTGTTTTCTGCTTGGTTGATTCTTTGTCTGGTGTTAATCCCTGCTTATCTGGGTATTGGTTGCTGGCTGCTGGCTGTAGAGTGAGCTTCTGAATATAAACAGGAAGCAAACCCCAAACTCACTCACATTGTTGATGCTACCTAGTTGGGTAATGAAACATCTGCAAGAAAACAACCAAGTTCAGAGAGCATCAAAGATTCTACGGTCCATCTCTTTCTCCTTCTCCTCCTCTTTCTTCTCCCCTTCCTCCTCCTCCTTCTCCTCCTCCTGCCCCCTCCCTTTGCTTCTGCTACACTCGATGAACCCCACTCCCTTCTAGCACTGATGACATTACCCAGTTAGGAAATTAAATGTCTTCAAGAAAACAACCACGTTCAGAGAGCACCAAGGACCCCATAGACCTCCTCTTTCACTCTGCAAACCTCTGTCCCTTCTAGAACTGATGAGATTACCTAGTTGGGTAATGAAACATCTGCGAGAAAACAAGCAAGCACAGAGGGCACCCTGATCAACCCTGAGCTGCAAATATTCTCTTCTTCTGCGACTAGCTAATCTTCTAAAGCTAATCTTCTGCGACCAGCATTCTTAACCGCATTTCTGTTTTTAGGAAGCTGCAAGGAAAGGAGGGAGGGGAGGGCATTGGGCAAAGTCTGGAAGGGGAAGAGGGTTGATTTCATGGATTAAATGAAGCCCCCAAATTATTGGAATCTCATCTTGAGTGTTTCCTTGTTTGCTGGAAGGTTCCAGGAAGCAGCTATTATGAAGACTATTTGAAGCACATCCTGACTAAAAGAATACCCAAGAAAAGGTGAGACCTCAGTTTGACCACTCAAGAGCTGGTGGATCACAAAACAAGGGGTTGGTGAGGACCGGCCTTGTATTTATGGCAGATCTTCTGAACTTCTTCTTTCAGCATCAATGGAGTGAAGCCAAGAAGGCTTTCCAGTCTCCAATCCTACTTGCGTACATTTGTATACACACCCCAGAAAGGTACTGCATTTATATATATATATATATATTCTTTTCCACTAGGTTCTTAGGAGATATTGGACGGGCTTAGGCTAGCTTGTTTTGTACTGCCATTCTATTTTGGTGGTTGTTCTGGAAAGATCTCCAGAACATCTACATTAGGGGTGTCAAACTCAATTTCATTGAGGGCTGCATCAGCATTGCGGTTGCCCTCAGGAGGCCGGGTGGGTGCAGCCTACTGGGTGGGCGTGGATGGAGTGGGTGTGGCCTACTGGGTGGGCATGGCCAGCTCTACATCATTCGCGTCAAGGGTGCCTGTAGGGGCCTGGGCAGGAGTGGGACAGATCTGAGGGTCTCTGGCAGAAAGGGGTGGGACCAGGGCAGAGCCCATCAAGCCGGATATGTGAAGTAGGCGAGGGCCATTTGCTGGCCACTTCCAGGCGATGGTGCATTTCTTCATTCCTCACAAAGGGTGACACCTCCCCAGCATGCACCCAGGGGGCGGGGCCGACGCGGCAGGGGCTAGTTCCTCGCTGTTTCCAGACGGCCTTGTGGAGCTAAGACTGAATGTGTTTCAGCATAGATGGCCACCACAAAATTGGACATTGGCTCCCGGCCGGCCTGGGCCAGGGCCAAGGCAGCGGGGACCGTTCCCTCACTGTTTCCAGGATGACTTCGCGGGCCACATGAAACCACTTTGCGGGCCGCATCCGGCCCCCGGACCTTGTGTTTGACATGTCTGATCTACATCTTCAAGACTGACACATATGTTCTGAAGCAAGGAGTTGCAGAGAAGTTCTATATCTCTTTGACTTTGTCCTTCTCTCATTATGGGCCTGTTTTTCAACACAATCCATGTAATTTGTCTTCTGGGTCAGTTGTGCTTCAAGTCTCACTAACCCTAGTGACATCCCCAATGGGTAAAATTTAGCTAGCAAATTTTTGAAAAACCACAGGTTCATCCCCAAGAAAGCTTTTTCATGAGGCAACTGGACTTTCTTGGTTTTTTTTGAAGATGTTTTGTTTCTCATCCAAGAAGCTTCTTCGGCTTCTTGGAGGAGAAGCAAAACGTCTTCAAAGAAAAACAAGAAAGTCCAGTTGCCTCATGAAAAAGCTTTCTTTGGGATAACTATGACCTGGATGATTAAGAATCTCCGTAGACCATGGGTTCATGTTCTACCCATCTGAATATGTTTCTTGATATGTAACCATGGGTTTTGTGATTGCAGGTTTCGAGATCCCACTGAAGCTGGCCCTCTCTCTAGCCATGGCTGTGATAGCTGTCTACCAGGTAAAGTACACCACAGTTTCTTCTCAACCTGTCCACCTGTGGTAGGACCAGCCTCATCTGTTGCTCTCCTGGTCTGCAGGTGGCCCTTCTTCTACTTGCATCCTTCATCCCCAACATCCAGATCATAAGAGCTGGGATGACAAAAGAAATGACAGCACTCTTTGTCCAATTTGGTATAATTCCTTCCAAAAATCCTGCCAGTATTCCTGGAGACAAAGAGTTGGCAACGGCTAAGCACTACATCTGGTCACTAGAAGGTATGTTTCTTCAGTCTTAGACAAGAATGTCCATTTCAGGGCTTGACCAACTGCAGCTGGAATGAAGAGGGTTCTTGCAGAATGCAAGAGTTAGGTCCAGGAACTCAAAACAAGACCAGAATAAGATGACATCTGCTTAAAAGGAATTCAATGATCAATATTGAGAAGGAACAAGTAATGACAGTGATGCTTATTCTTGATTGTCTCACCTCCCCCAGCAAAATAAAAAAATATATACAGTGGTACCTCGGTACTCAGTGTTAATTGGTTAGAATTAGAATAACAGAATTGGAAGGGTCTTTGTAGGTCACCTAGTCCAACTTCTTGCCCAAGCAGGAGACCCTACACCATTTCTGACACATGGCAGTCCAGTCTCTTTTTGAAAGCTTCCAGTGATGAAGCTCCCACAACTTCTGAAGGCAACTTCTGTTCCATTGGCTGATTGTTCTCACTGTCAGGAAATTTCTCCTCATTTCTAGGTTGAATCTCTCCTTGATCCGTTTCCATCCATCACTCCTTGTCCTGCCTTCAGGTGCTTTGGAAAATAGATTGACACCCCCCCCCTCCTCTCTATGACAGCCTCTCAAATATTGGAAGACTGCTATCATGTCTCCCCTGGTCCTTCTCTTCACTTGACTCATCATGCCCAGTTCCTGCAACCGTTCTTCATATATTTTAGCCTCCTGTCCCCTAATCATCCTTGTTGCTCTTCTCTGCACTTTTTCTAGAGTCTCAACACCTTTTTTTAGAGATCGAAACTGTGTTCCAAGAGGAATGATGACTACAAAAATGATGTGAACCAAACAAATTTTTCCCATAAGGAATAATGTAGTGAGTCACAAAGCAGTAGTTCTAACTTGTGTATTGAGCACCAAACAAATGATGCGTACCGGGACAGAATTTTCATGTAAAAATGTGTTGAGTACCAAATCCGATGAGTTTCAAAACAGTTAAGTACCAAGACCCCATTGTATATTTAAAAAGGATATTTTTTTAAGAATGAAGACAACTCAGTGGGACAACCCATCTTTTACAAGCATCACCCAAGATCTATTCTGAATATGCAATTCAACAGTTTCATTTGACAAGCTAATCAGCTTGATTGAGAAGGTCACTTTGGATCATGCAACTGAACTAAATGGATTTGGAGATCCGATTCAGCCTTTATAAGAAGTCCATTGGTTCTTGAAATCTCTTTGAAGGCACACTTAGATTCATTTCGACTGATGAGGTTGCAATTTGATTCTGCAATTTGATTCTGCAATTCCATTCAAAGGAAGGGGTGATTCAGTCAAGTTGCCTTCAAATCAGAGGTCTGAATCACCGCTTCCGATGTCCATAATGTTTAACATATGTCAGCAAGCAGAGTTGCACTCAGATGTGCTTTTGTTGCAGACCTGAATGAGGGCTTGTTGCTTCCTAGGAAAGAAGGAGCTTTAGTTATCCGTGCCTTAAAATAGGTCTCTGGGCTGAAGCTAAACCGAACACAGGAGCCAAGGCATTCTTTACAAATCCCTGGAGAAAATAGAATAATTTCAGAGATGTTTCATGGTCTGTAAAACTTCCTGGAATTTTTAAGAGCCTAGACGTGTGGGATGTTTTAAAGAAATGTAATCAGGAAACTGTCAAAGGTTGGGGCAGAGTCTAAGAAACAAGCAGCACAGAGATGTAGCAGAAAAGCCTGCTGATTTTGCCCTCATAAAGACGTCTGAGAACCAGGTGCATGGAGCAGATGGTCTAGTGACATAGGGAAACTATACAGAAGGATAGAAGGGGGGCATCAAACCCCACAACGCACAATGGCCTGCTGTTCCTGTTACCTCCAGCTAAACTAAGCCCTTCCCTGTCCCAATATCCTGGTTCTTCCTGGGCCTAGAATTGAAGGAACATTCTTGGAAAGAACAGAATTGGAGTTGGAAGGGATCTTGGAGATCATCTAGTCCAACCCCCTGCTCCAGCAGGAGACCCTATACCATTTCAGTTCAATGGTTGCCTAGACTCTTTTTAAAAGCCTCCAGTTGATGGAGCACCCATAACTTCTTGAGTCAAGCTGTTCCACTCATTAATTGTTCTCACTGTCTGGAAATTTCTCCTTAGTTCTAGGTTGCTTCTCTCTTGCTTAGTTTCCACCCGTTGCTTCTTGTCCTGCCTTCAGGTGCCTTGGAGAATAGCTTGACTCCCTCTTCTTTGGGGCAGCCCCTGAGATATTGAAACACTGCTATCCTGTCACCCCATGTCCTACTTTTCATTAAAGTAGACATACCCAATTCCTGCAACTGTTCTTGGGGAACAGAGTTACTATTAACTGTGGCCCTTTAGACAAAACATCTGCAACTGACAGAGCAGATACTTTGTCTAAAGGTCCACAGCAGTTGATATCTCTGCTTGCCTTTGAGCAGATTATCAATGCATTGCAAAAAAAGTTTTTTAAAAAATATGGGTTTTATAAAGACAGTAGAACTTATACCATGTAACAAACCTACATGTAAATTACAATCAGGAGGCTGGGCCTATCGTTGGATAATGCAGCAACAAACTGAGCCGATTCTGGTGGACACAGAGAGGCTGAAGAAGATAACTCTGAGAGATGAAAAAAAATAGAAACATCTATTTAGAAAAGTATGTAGAACCTATAGCTCAGTGGTTCTTAACCTGTGGGTCAGGACCCCATTTGGGGTCGATCGACCATTTCATGGGGGTCGCCAAGCAAGGCTGTCNCCAGCTGGTGGTCGGCCTGCTCCGTCTCTGCCGCTTGCCAGCTACGCCTCGGCCGGCGCAGGGGGCAGAACCACGCATGCGCGGCGCTCCCGGGCAGGGAAAGTCCTCGACTTACGACCGGTTGGGTAGTCCTCGACTTACGACCGGTTTAGTCCTCGACTTACGACCGGTTTAGTCCTCGACTTACGACCGGTTGGGGTCGCGGCATTAAAAAGGTTGAGAACCACTGCTATAGCTGCTATAGATCAGATATAGCTAGTGTCAAATGTGCCGACAATGTGTGCATGATTAAAGACTTTTTCAGAATAAATATGCCTGGAATTTCCTTGAAGTGTTCCATTAGTCGGAACTTGACAGCTAGATTTGCACCTCATTTGCCTGACCCTGACTGAGATCTGGGTGGGTTTTGTTTCGATCCTGTGAAAAAGCTGCAACCTTTTGGGAATCCTGCAGCCTTTGTCTAGATCCCTCTCTGCCCATTCCTGTTTTGCAGTGTGCTTCATCTCGTCCCTGGTCCTCTCCTGCCTGGTGACCTTCTGCATGTTAATGAAGTCCATGGGAAACCACAGGTGAGGCTTCTTCCCAGGATTCAGAGGTCCAAACCTCCTCCTCCTCCTCCTTTTGATCACATGTTCTCCCTGTGTTTCAGGACTAATCTCCGGTGTCTCTACCAAGGGGCTGTTGAAAAGGTTTTCTATCGTTCCTGTAAACTCCAACCTTCTCAGCAATCTCTCGTGTGCTGGATGCAATTCACGGGTTTCCAGATATCATTTGCGTGCCTAGGTAACTGAGGAGCCCTAATCACACCTTAGAAGGTGGGAATAGAGAGTAGTAAGTTGAAAAGAATGTGCTGGAAGATGTGAACAAACCACATCCATACTGTTGCCAAGAAAACTGCATGGATGTGTCCTCATGGCCACCAGTCACGTTTGTGTTGAGGGAGTCTTTATTATTTTCCTGGCCTTATACTCCACTTTCTGAGCAATAATTGGGCCAAAAAGGGGAAAGGGTGCAGTTGGGAAGAGGTGATGGTGTCCCCAAGATCAGAACGGATGTCCGTCTGTGATCTTCCTTGCAACCCACCGGGCATTTTTGTCTCTGTCCCAGCTCTGCTCATCCAACACATTGTCTTCTTCATTTGCATCGTGTGTTTCACTTTCCTGATTGTTGTCCCACTGCAGTCTGGCAGCAACATGCATCTTTTCAAAATTGTGGTGAACTTGTGGTAAGTGTTCCACAGAGCCAAGCTTGGAAAGTAACATGATTTATCTGCCAGCCAGACCCTTATGTTGAACTATCTACTTTTTTCTCCCACAATTAAAAACTGCCAAGCTTAGCTGTATCTATTTAATGTTTCTTTATGTAACTGTTGGGTGTAGGGGAGCAATCATTTCCCATTTCTCTAACATTGCATTTGTTTCTAGTGTGATGACTAGAACAACTACTATATCCTAAATTGTTGCTTTAAGAAAATTGGATGTTCATTCATTGAATGATGGATTATTTTGGTTTTGTCTAGGCCCTTCTGGTTGACCTTGGTTGTTTCATTCATCACCCAGAATCTGCTGGTCCACTACTACTTCCTGGAGCGAGACCATCTACCCAGAGAGTTGACCAACAGGTGATTATTGAAAACCATCCATCATAGAATATACCAAGTATATTGGTATATCATCTGGAGATCATCTGGTTGAGATCCCTAGCCTGTTCTGGAATTCTGCAATGAATGATGATAAAATAATGAAAAAGAAAGCATCAATGATGGCCATGTTGGACCACCTAACTATCAAGTCCAGAATGGACCACTCAGACTGGCAACATCTAATGGAACATCTAATCTAAGGAACATATAATGCTCTTTTTGACATACACTACATTTTAGATGAACAAAAAGGGAAGGTTGGAAAAGACCTTGCAGATTATCTGGCCCGATTACCTCCATGCCATACTACAAGACCCTTGATAGATGACCATCAGCCTCTCTTTTACACACCTCCAGCAAACAGAGTCCACCACCTCCTGAGTCACCTGTTCCATTGTTGAACAGTTCATACCTTCACCAATTCTGTCTGATGACCAATCATCCTTTACTTCCTCGTAAATTGAAGGCCCTTCTTTAGGTTTTATCTTCTGGAGCAGATCTGATCGGTTTGGCCTGATTTTTTTTTCTACTTCCAGCTCTTCAGATATTCTGACAACTCCTAAAAACTTCCACCAGCTTAAAAGTTTTAGCAAGAAGGAATTATGTAATATGGAAAGCCATTGTCATTGGTATTGATGTTACCTGAACGTTCATTATTATATCGTTGCAACCCATTTGTGTATATGTGTGGGCGCTTTTGTGTGCTTTACTCACGACCGCCTCTGCTTCCCTCTTATGCAGGCGAGCCTTTTACATTGTGACATACATGTTTTTCCCCATCAATGTGCTCCTGGGGTTAATGGCAGGAATCTGGAGAATGGTGATCTCAGCGCTGTACAACATTGTTCATTTCTGCCAGCTGGATGGGAGTCTACTGAGCCGTGGGGTGGAGAGGTTTGATCCAGGTAAGGAATACAAGACACACACACACCTCAACCAGCCTTTTTTGCCCTGACTGCATCCTTCCCTCTTGTTTAGGATGCCTAAAGCTTTGTTCATATGTCACATAAAGCCCATGTAGATTTATTCGGTTGCAACCTAGTGCAAAATGTCTACGGAGAGTCTCAATCATCCAGGTCATGCTTGTCCCAAAGTGGTTTTTTTTTTTTTTCATAAAAGGCAACTGGACTTTCTTGGTTTGTTTTTTTTCTTTGAAAACCTTTCACTTCTCATCCAGAACTGAAGAAGCTTCTTGGATGAAAAGCAAAATGTTTTTAAAGAAAAGAAAAAACAACAGAGTCCAGTTGCTTTTTGGGAAAAGCACCTGTGGGACTAATGCAATATGCAAACTCATCCAACCTGGTCTGTGGGAACTCAGCTGACTGACAAAGGTTAAATAGGTTAGGATAGCGGTCCCCAATCTTTCTGGCTTGGCAGCCTGGCAGGGAGGGAAAGGGGATGGTTCCCTGTGAGTGGTAGGCAGGCGTGCGCAAGGGTGTGCAGCTCAACAAATGGAGCCAAGGAAGTTTTGCGCACAAGGGCCACCACTTGCTTGAGGGGAGTTTCACACGTGAGGGGAGCTTTGTATGCATGCACACACTCAGTCTCCACTCACACGGCCCGGTTTCAAACAGGCCACAGCCCGGGGGTGGGGGACCCCATGGGTTAGGACATCATGGAACACCTCCATTAAAGCAGAGGTCCCCAACCTTTTGGGCACCAGGGACTGGTTACATGGCAAGGGGTTTTTCCGCGGACCGGAGGATGTGTGGTTTTGTGTGCTGCCTGCATCCCGCAGATGGGGCTTTGCTTGTTTGTGCAGACCGGTTGCTGGCATGCCACAGCCCGGTACCGGTCCACAAACCAGGGGTTGGGGACCCCTGCATTAAAAGACACTTATCATATAACCTTTTTTCAACTCTATGAGCAGCCTTAAAAGTTGTTTCTGGAGAGACATGAAACGAAGTTGAGTCGAGAGCTTCACAAGATGCCTTTGTCATTCATGTCTTTGTCTTTGTCGTGTCTTTGTACATGTCTAGACTGATGTGCTGCAATTTTAACCTCTCCCCTCTCTCCTCTTCCCTGCGTTCCACCGACGTCACCACCCTCCGTCTCTTTCTCGCAGGCTACCGTACCTACTGCCAATATTTGAAAATTGAGGTCAGCCAATCCCACCCAGTAGTGAAAGCCTTTTGCCTCTTGCTTCTCCGCTGGCAAAGCGCCCAAAATATGCAGACCCTGCAGCTCAGAGATGCAGAAGAAGGTAAGGGATCAGCCGAGGACCAAGTCCAGGAACAGAATGAGTGGAAAGCTGCGACAGGCAGATGGAGAAAAATGGACCGACAGCCGTCAAAGTCGCTCCAAGCTTTCCTTTGAAATAGACGTAAACAGGTAGTCCTCGACTTACGGTCACAACTAAGCCCCAAATTTCTGCTGCTAAGCAAGACAGTTATTGAGTTTGGCCCCGTTTTATGTCCTTTCTTGACACGGTTGTTAAGTGAATCACTGAAATTGTTAAGTTAGCAACACTGTTGTTAAGTGAATCTGGCTTCCCTCATTGACTCTGCTTGTCAGAAGGTCGCAAAAGGGGATCACGTGACCTCGGGACACTGCAACCGTCATAAATATGAGTCGGTTGCCAAACCTCTGAACTTTGATCACGTGACCCTGGGGATGCTGCAACGGTCGTAAGTCTGAAAAATGGTAATAAATCACGTTTTTTAGTGCTGCTGTAACCGCCACTAAATGAACTATTGTAAGTTGGGAACTACCTGTATTAAACACTCAAGAGAAATCAGTCCAAATCATAATAATAATAATTGCCTTGCTTTCTTCTTCATCTCTCTTCTACATCGGTATCCTGCTTTAAAAATCTTATTTCTCTAACTTACAAGGTTTTTTTTTTAAAAAAAAGCCTGGAATCAGATCGCATGAAACAAACCTATCAAATTATACTCACCGCTTACTCTCTCCTTCTTCTTTTTCTGATTATCTTCAAGCTGACCCCCACACAACCTTTGAAGACCACCGTTTGAACTTGATTCTTTTCTCAACAGGAATCAAACTCATGAAGACCACCAATTCAGCACCCAAAGCGTCAAAGGGCCAACAGAACCGGGTCCGATGGTGCCTGGCGTATACCCTCATCAACAACCCTTCCCTATTGCCCTACCGCAAAGGGGCTCTTGTGGATGCAACAGCTAATGGGACAAAAGGCAGCCTCACCAAGCCTTGATGGAACCAGCAAGCTTTCTTGGAAACAATGGACTCTCCATCAGGAGATGATGGATGGATTCCATCACGAGTTTTCATCTTGGGGTTCTTCAAGTTCCATGCCTCTTTCGGGCTTATGCATCCTTGACCTGTTTGTAGACTTAGAAGATGACTGAGGTTTAGTTGTCCTCCCTTCCTTTCCCACCCCACCCCACCTCAGGACAAACAACCCTGGATGGGCATGAAACCCATGCAAAGTTTTGGAATTGATCCAAAGCTGGTCTGTTTCTCTCCATTACAAGATGTTCCTTAGCATGTGTCCTCCTGTTTGTTTGTTTTTTAACATGGGAAACCTGTCAATGTTGCCTTTTCATACATCTTGGGTTCCGAGGCCTCCTGAAGTGCTGGGTGCACCCTAAATCTTGGGGGCTCACTTTTAGCAAGAAAGAAAGCAAAGGATGGTAGGCTAATAAGTTAAAAGCAGAACGGAGATCGGAGTGGTTCTCAAAATAGGGATTTTTGAGGGTTTTGCAAATGTAAGTAATGGGTTCTTTTTTAATGTTAGGGGTGGGTGGTGTTTGAGATGGAGAATTTGTATAAATGCATTGAACAGACTGCTTTATCTTGTTTAAATTCCCAAATACACTGTTCCAGGTTGTCTAGATGGATGGCTGCTATTCTTCAGTGGAATTAAAAGGTTATAAATATAGAGAACAAGAAAATGGACAATCAAAATATAGGCACAAGAGAGAGAAAAAACACATTTCGGACATTTTAATCCCTCAGTTCTGATAGGTTATATTGAGAAAATCCTACATAGTTGTGTCCCTCTTCCTGCCAAGTTATGGAGTTGCTTCTCCTAATCCTTAAGCCAACTAGGGATTACCTCCCATCGCCTTTAAATTTAAAACAGCTCCCATTTCAGGACCTGGCCAGATGACTCCCACACACCTAGTGAATGTAGAGTAATTAAAGAGTACAGAAACCTGATTTCTACTATGATGAATAATAAATGAAATGTCATTGTTAGTCTCTTGGAGAAGGTGTGCTGCTGCTTCTTCTTCTCCTGTACCTCTTCTGCATCTCTTCTGGCCTACTGGAAGTCGAACGCTGGAAGGATGCATTTGATGAAGAAGTTGTTTTGACGACGTTGGGACTTTTAAAAAAAATATAACTAATAAAACTGATTTGCCTGATCAAAGGGCTGCCTATCAGGATTTTTAATTTTTTTTTCTCACATTGTCCACCTGTTTCTTTTCTTACTCGAGGATATGGGGAGACCTGCCCCAGTTCAAACGAAGATTCTTGATCTAGAACAGAAGTGTGAAACTTTGACCTAAACTAAAAGCTGCCATGGGCCATACTGTAGAAGGAAATCAGATTTTCTACACAATCCCAGATGGCAAATGTCTTAGCTGTCCTGGGCAAGCAAGAAGAACAGGAATAANGCCTTACCTCCCTTGGGCTGGGCCAGCTGGTGGTCGGCCTGCTCCGTCTCTGCCGCTTGCCAGCTACGCCTCGGCCGGCGCAGGGGGCAGAACCACGCATGCGCGGCGCTCCCGGGCAGGGAAAGTCCTCGACTTACGACCGGTTGGGTAGTCCTCGACTTACGACCGGTTTAGTCCTCGACTTACGACCGGTTGGGGTCGCGGCATTAAAAAGGTTGAGAACCACTGCTATAGCTGCTATAGATCAGATATAGCTAGTGTCAAATGTGCCGACAATGTGTGCATGATTAAAGACTTTTTCAGAATAAATATGCCTGGAATTTCCTTGAAGTGTTCCATTAGTCGGAACTTGACAGCTAGATTTGCACCTCATTTGCCTGACCCTGACTGAGATCTGGGTGGGTTTTGTTTCGATCCTGTGAAAAAGCTGCAACCTTTTAGGAATCCTACAGCCTTTGTCTAGATCCCTCTCTGCCCATTCCTGTTTTGCAGTGTGCTTCATCTCGTCCCTGGTCCTCTCCTGCCTGGTGACCTTCTGCATGTTACTGAAGTCCATGGGAAACCACAGGTGAGGCTTCTTCCCAGGGTTCAGAGGTCCAAACCTCCTCCTCCTCCTCCTTTTGATCACATGTTCTCCCTGTGTTTCAGGACTAATCTCCGGTGTCTCTACCGAGGGGCTGTTGAAAAGGTTTTCTATCGTTCCTGTAAACTCCAACCTTCTCAGCAATCTCTCGTATGCTGGATGCAATTCACGGGTTTCCAGATATCATTTGCGTGCCTAGGTAACTGAGGAGCCCTAATCACACCTTAGAAGGTGGGAATAGAGAGTAGTAAGTTGAAAAGAATGTGCTGGAAGATGTGAACAAACCACATCCAAACTGTTGCCAAGAAAACTGCATGGATGTGTCCTCATGGCCACCAGGAGTCAAGGTTGTGTTGAAGGAGTCTTTATTATTTTCCTGGCCTTATACTCCACTTTCTGAGCAATAATTGGGCCAAAAAGGGGAAAGGGTGCAGTTGGGAAGAGGTGATGGGTGTCCCCAAGATCAGAACGGATGTCCATCTGTGATCTTCCTTGCAACCCACCGGGCCTTTTTGTCTCTGTCTCAGCTCTGCTCATCCAACACATTGTCTTCTTCATTTGCATCGTGTGTTTCACTTTCCTGATTGTTGTCCCACTGCAGTCTGGCAGCAACATGCATCTTTTCAAAATTGTGGTGAACTTGTGGTAAGTGTTCCACAGAGCCAAGCTTGGAAAGTAACATGATTTATCTGCCAGCCAGACCCTTATGTTGAACTATCTACTTTTTTCTCCATGAACTAAAAACTGCCAAGCTTAGCTGTATCTATTTAATGTTTCTTTATGTAGCTGTTGGGTCTAGGGGAACAATCATTTCCCATTTCTCTAACATTGCATTTGTTTCTAGTGTGATGACTAGAACAACTACTATATCCTAAATTGTTGCTTTAAGAAAATTGGATGTTCAACATTCATTGAATGATGGATTATTTTGGTTTTGTCTAGGCCCTTCTGGTTGACCTTGGTTGTTTCATTCATCGCCCAGAACCTGCTGGTCCACTACTACTTCCTGGAGCGAGACCATCTACCCAGAGAGTTGACCAACAGGTGATTATTGAAAACCATCCATCATAGAATATACCAAGTACATTGGTATATCATCTGGAGATCATCTGGTTGAGATCCCTAGCCTGTTCTGGAATTCTGCAATGAATGATGATAAAATAATGAAAAAGAAAGCATCAATGATGGCCATGTTGGACCACCTAACTATCAAGTCCAGAATGGACCACTCAGACTGGCAACATCTGCCCACTTATAGGAACAGATAATGCTCTTTTTGAGATACACTACATTTTAGATAAACAAAAAGGGAAGGTTGGAAAAGACCTTGCAGATTATCTGTCCCGATTACCTCCATGCCATACTACAAGACCCTTGATAGATGACCATCAGCCTCTCTTTTACACACCTCCAGCAAACAGAGTCCACCACCTCCTGAGTCACCTGTTCCATTGTTGAACAGTTCATACCTTCACCAATTCTTTCTGATGGCCAATCATCCTTTACTTCCTCATAAATTGAAGGCCCTTCTTTAGGTTTTATCTTCTGGAGCAGATCTGATCGGTTTGGCCTGATTTTTTTTCCTACTTCCAACTCTTCAGATATTCTGACAACTCCTAAAAACTTCCACCAGCTTAAAAGTTTTAGCAAGAAGGAATTATGTAATATGGAGAGCCATCGTCATTGGTATTGATGTTACCTGAACGTTCATTGTTATATCGTTGCAACCCATTTGTGTATATGTGTGGGCGCTTTTGTGTGCTTTACTCATGACCGCCTCTGCTTCCCTCTTATGCAGGCGAGCCTTTTACATTGTGACATACATGTTTTTCCCCATCAATGTGCTCCTGGGGTTAATGGCAGGAATCTGGAGAATGGTGATCTCAGCGCTGTACAACATTGTTCATTTCTGCCAGCTGGATGGGAGTCTACTGAGCCGTGGGGTGGAGAGGTTTGATCCAGGTAAGGAATACAAGACACATACACACCCCAACCAGCCTTTTTTGCCCTGACTGCATCCTTCCCTCTTGTTTAGGATGCCTAAAGCTTTGTTCATATGTCACATAAAGCCCATGTAGATTTATTTGGTTGCAACCTAGTGCAAAATGTCTACGGAGAGTCTCAATCATCCAGGTCATGCTTGTCCCAAAGTGGTTTGTTTGTTTTTTCCATAAAAGGCAACTGGACTTTCTTGGTTTGTTTTTTTTCTTTGAAAACCTTTCACTTCTCATCCAGAACTGAAGAAGCTTCTTGGATGAAAATCAAAATGTTTTTAAAGAAAAGAAAAAACAACAGAGTCCAGTTGCTTTTTGGGAAAAGCACCTGTGGGACTAATGCAATATGCAAACTCATCCAACCTGGTCTGTGGGAACTCAGCTGACTGACAAAGGTTAAATAGGTTAGGATAGCGGTCCCCAATCTTTCTGGCTTGGCAGCCTGGCAGGGAGGGAAAGGGGATGGTTCCCTGTGAGTGGTAGGCAGGCGTGCGCAAGGGTGTGCAGCTCAACAAATGGAGCCAAGGAAGTTTTGCGCACAAGCGGCCACCACTTGCTTGAGGGGAGTTTCACACGTGAGAGGTGCTTTGCATGCATGCACACACTCAGTCTCCACTCACACAGCCCGGTTTCAAACAGGCCACAGCCCGGGGGTGGGGGACCCCTGGGTTAGGACACCATGGAACACCTCCATTAAAGCAGAGGTCCCCAACCTTTTGGGCACCAGGGACTAGTTACATGGCAAGGGGTTTTTCCGCGGACCGGAGGGGATGTGGTTTTGTGTGCTGCCTGCATCCCGCAAACAGGCTTTGCTTGTTTGTGCAGACCAGTTGGTGGCATGCCACAGCCCGGTACCGGTCCACAGACCAGGGTTTGGGGACCCCTGCATTAAAAGACACTTATCATATAACCTTTTTTCAACTCTATGAGCAGCCTTAAAAGTTGTTTCTGGAGAGATGTGAAACGAAGTTGAGTCGAGAGCTTCACAAGATGCCTTTGTCATTCATGTCTTTGTCTTCTTGCCTGTCGTGTCTTTGTACATGTCTAGACTGATGTGCTGCAATTTTAACCTCTCCCCTCTCTCCTCTTCCACCGACGTCACCACCCTCCGTCTCTTTCTCGCAGGCTACCGTACCTACTGCCAATATTTGAAAATTGAGGTCAGCCAATCCCACCCAGTAGTGAAAGCCTTTTGCCTCTTGCTTCTCCGCTGGCAAAGTGCCCAAAATATGCAGACCCTGCAGCTCAGAGATGCAGAAGAAGGTAAGGGATCAGCCGAGGACCAAGTCCAGGAGCAGAATGAGTGGAAAGCTGCGACAGGCAGATGGAGAAAAAAGGACCGACAGCCGTCAAAGTCGCTCCAAGCTTTCCTTTGAAATAGACGTAAACAGGTAGTCCTTCACAACTCAGCCCCAAATTTCTGCTGCTAAGCAAGACAGTTATTGAGTTTGGCCCCATTTTATGTCCTTTCTTGACACGGTTGTTAAGTGAATCACTGAAATTGTTAAGTTAGCAACACTGTTGTTAAGTGAATCTGGCTTCCCTCATTGACTCTGCTTGTCAGAAGGTCGCAAAAGGGGATCACGTGACCCCTGGACACTGCAACTGTCATAAATATGAGTCGGTTGCCAAGCCTCTGAACTTTGATCACGTGACCCTGGGGATGCTGCAACAGTCGTAAGTCTGAAAAATGGTAATAAATCACGTTTTTTAGTGCTGCTGTAACCACCACTAAATGAACTATTGTAAGTTGGGAACTACCTGTACACTCGAGAGAAATAAGTCCAAATCATCATAATAATAATTGCCTTGCTTTCTTCTTCATCTCTCTTCTACATCGGTATCCTGCTTTAAAAATCTTATTTCTCTAACTTACAAGGTTGTTTTTTTTTAAAAAAAAGCCTGGAATCAGATCGCATGAAACAAACCTATCAAATTATACTCACCGCTTACTCTCTCCTTCTTCTTTCCTGATTATCTTCAAGCTGACCCCCACACAACCTTTGAAGACCACCGTTTGAACTTGATTCTTTTCTCAACAGGAATCAAACTCATGAAGACCACCAATTCAGCACCCAAAGCGTCAAAGGGCCAACAGAACCGGGTCCGATGGTGCCTGGCGTATACCCTCATCAACAACCCTTCCCTATTGCCCTACCGCAAAGGGGCTCTTGTGGATGCAACAGCTAATGGGACAAAAGCCAGCCTCACCAAGCCTTGATGGAACCAGCAAGCTTTCTTGGAAACAATGGACTCTCCATCAGGAGATGATGGATGGATTCCATCACGAGTTTTCATCTTGGGGTTCTTCAAGTTCTTCAAGTTCCATGCCTCTTTTAGGCTTATGCATCTACCTTGACCTGTTTGTAGACTTAGAAGATGACTGAGGCTTAGTTGTCCTCCCTTCCTTTCCCACCCCACCCCACCTCAGGACAAACAACCCTGGATGGGCATGAAACCCATGCAAAGTTTTGGAATTGATCCAAAGCTGGTCTGTTTCTCTCCATTACAAGATGTTCCTTAGCATGTGTCCTCCTGTTTGTTTGTTTTTTAACATGGGAAATCTGTCAATGTTGCCTTTTCATACATCTTGGATTCCGAGGCCTCCTGAAGTGCTGGGTGCACCCTAAATCTTGGGGGCTCGCTTTTAGCAAGAAAGAAAGCAAAGGATGGTAGGTTAATAAGTTAAAAGCAGAACGGAGATCAGAGTGGTTCTCAAAATAGGGATTTTTGAGGGTTTTGCAAATGTAAGTAATGGGTTCTTTTGGAATGTTAAGGGTGGGTGGTGTTTGAGATGGAGAATTTGTATAAATGCATTGAACAGACCACTTTATCTTGTTTAAATTCCCAAATACACTGTTCCAGGTTATCTAGATGGATGGCTGCTATTCTTCAGTGGAATTAAAAGTTTATAAATATAGAGAACAAGAAACTGGACAATCAAAATATAGGCACAAGAGAGAGAGAAAACACATTTCGGACATTTTAATCCCTCCAGTTCTGATAGGTTATATTGAGAAAATCCTACATAGTTGTGTCTCTCTTCCTGCCAAGTTATGGAGTTGCTTCTCCTAATCCTTAAACCAACTAGGGATTACCTCCCATCGCCTTTAAATTTAAAACAGCTCCCATTTCAGGACCTGGCCAGATGACTCCCACACACCTAGTGAATGTAGAGTAATTAAAGAGTACAGAAACCTGATTTCTACTATGATGAATAATAAATGAAATGTCATTGTTAGTCTCTTGGAGAAGGTGTGCTGCTTCTTCTTCTTCTCCTGTACCTCTTCTGCATCTCTTCTGGCCTACTGGAAGTCGAACGCTGGAAGGATGCATTTGATAAAGAAGTTGTTTTGACGATGTTGGGACTTTTAAAAAAAATATAACTAATAAAAACTGATTTGCCTGATCAAAGGGCTGCCTATCAGGATTTTTAATTTTTTTTTCTCACATTGTCCACTTGTTTCTTTTCTTACTCGAGGATATGGGGAGACCTGCCCCAGTTCAAACGAAGATTCTTGATCTAGAACAGAAGTGTGAAACTTTGACCTAAACTAAAAGCTGCCATGGGCCATACTGTAGAAGGAAATCAGATTTTCTACACAATCCCAGATGGCAAATGTCTTAGCTGTCCTGGGCAAGCAAGAAGAACAGGAATAAACTCCAAAAACCCAGCGGGCTTTGAGATCCTCCACTGCAAACCGTCTTGGGCACTGTAGGAGTCAAATAGATAAACTTCACATTTTCTTCAGATGTCAGGACTTCTTTGATGTCACAAGTTTTGTTTGGGTTCTTGCTGGCTTGGAGATGGTTCTTGAGGAAAGTGGTGGGCTTCTCGGAGCCGGCCAAAGCCACGTGGACGGAGGCCTCACGAAAGCCAACGTCATTATAGGCCTGGCAAGTATACATGCCTTCACTGGTCTTGCTGAATTTGGTGACGGCCATGGATCCATTTTTGAAGACCAGAAAGCGCCCTCTGCTCTGTGAAGAACTTGCAGGATCTAGCAACAAATCCTCTTCTCTTTCAGTGTTGGGCCCATCGATGGCCACATGTTGATCAGCTGTCTGGATTTTCCACCTGATCTTTGGTGGGGGCTTACCCACGGCGTTGCAGTGCAATTGAAGGGTAAGCCCATCCTTCAACTTGCTATCACCCAGGCTGGAATGATAGACCAACTGGACTGATGGAAGGGCACAGTCCAGCTTCAAGGATCTCCCAAGAACGAGACCTTTCTGTTTCTCCGGAGTAGCACATGTAATGGACTTCTTCTCTGGAAGTGAAACCAGCGTGCTCTGTAGCCATCCATCTAACCACCAAATTTTACAGGTGCAGTCAAAGGGGTTGTTGTTGATTTGCAGCTGAGCTAACTTAGGCATGGAACTGAAGGTCCCATCCGAGAGAGTAGCCAGCCTATTGTCACTGAGCCAGAGAGAACGAAGGTCCTTAAGGGACTGAAAGGCTTCTGGTGGGATCTTCTCCAGATGGTTGTTGCTGAGCTTCAGCTGTTGCAGAGAGGTGAGGTTGGATAGGTCTCCCCAGGGGAAACTCATAATCTGATTGTGACTGAGATCAAGCGCTCGGAGGTGTACCAAAAAAGCAAAGGTGCCCTCAGCAATGGTGTCGATTTCGTTGTAGGAGAGCCACAAACCTTGTAGTTTTGCTGTGTTGGCAAAGGATTCTTCCCCCAATGAGGCAAGGTGGTTGACAGACAGGGTGAGGGTGGTGGTGTTGGAGGAGAAGTCCTGAGGAACCATCTGGAGATCTTGGTAAGAACAGTCTGCAACATATCGCTCGTATTTCTTCTTGGCTGCACACCGACAGACATCCGGGCAGCTCTGGATCCCCACAAAGAGCAGTGCAGTTAGCAAGCAGGTGAAGGGATCCATTGCTTTCTCCCCATTTAGCTGTAAAACAATAACAGTGGAGATTATCTTCCATACTGAGATCTAGTCCAACCCAACCATCAGCCTATAGCTGTGTTGTATCTCCTCAGATTGAACAAGGGGCACCACCTGATGGGACTTTCTTTTGTTGAGGGGAGGGAACCAATCTGGAGTTGGGTAATCTAACAAATCTGGTACCAAGACTTCTGCCCAGCAATTGTATGTGATAGCAAATTCATCCTCAATTTGTCTTGGAAAAAAATCATTCCAGCAACACTGGATGGATGAAGTGATAATAGTCAGAAAACTATGACAATCAAAAATATATTGCAGCTAGCAAGGAACACTATTTTTATTGCCAGCTTATGGACAAGCAGTCTGGAAGGGTAGGGTCTTCCACTCAAACAGGGGGTTGGACTAGAAGACCTCCAAAGTCCCTTCCAACCCTTCTAGGAATGTCCTTTGCGTAGATATACATCAGTCTCATTTCTATTTATTTCCTATCTGGATGTCCTTCAACCTTTCAATTCAATTTTAATCAAGAAAAGATCCTTCGCATTTTTAAAATTATTATGAAATACATCCTTTGCATAGGCTGTGTAGGCCAAGTCATAAAACTTAAGTAACATAGCATCCAATTTATAATTTTCCTGTACCAGTTCTCTTATTTTAAGAGTAGGTTCATGAGGTTTATTTCCATGTTATTTCCATGTTGTGTGAACCCAACCCTGTGCTGCTTAATAAATCAACTCTGGTTTAGCCCTGTAAACACACAGACTGAAGAAAGCATTCCCATTTCTCAACCATGGCAACTTTAAGATGTGTTCTCTTCCACTCCCAGAATTTTCCAGCCGGCAGATTCTGAGAATTGAAGTCCACACATTTTATAGTCACCAAGATTGAGAAACAGGGCCATAATCTATTCCGAATTAGTGTGCTTCTTTTGTTGTCTTGTTGAACTGCTACGCTGATCTCACAATTCTATTGGGAAGAAGTTATATTCGGCCAATTAGTATGTGTCTAGACTCTAGCTGAAGTTGTGCCTTGCCGTAAAAAGGATGACTTTATAGCTAAAAGAAGAAGAATTTTCTGGTAGATCATCAACACCTCACCACAACACCTTTCCAACAACACTTCTCTTCTTTCACATTCCCCAAGGGCAGTGACCTCATTCTGAGCTTTTCCCAATACGTGGAGTTTGGGAGTAGAACTCAGCAGCTCAAAGGTGAAGGCAAAGTCAGGACTTCAGGTCTTCTTGTATGGTTTTTCTATCAACCACATCCTGGAATTCAGGTTACAAATTTTGGTTGCCGCTAACACAACTGTACTGTTTTCCGTGGACTGCTTAAAAAGAAGTCTTCTTTCCCAGATGTAGAACTGGAGACTTGCCATGCACGCCTTCAGAAAATTATGGCTCCCCTAGTGCAATATATTTTGTTGATGACCTTTAGACTATCTCCAGAAGTTGTGTGTGCTCCAAGGCTGGAGGTTTTTAAGAAGAGATTGGACAGCCATTTGACTGAAAGAATAGAATAGAATAGAATAGAATAGAATAGAATAGAATAGAATAGAATAGAATAGAATAGAATAGAATAGAATAGAATGGAATGGAATGGAATGGAATAGAATAGAATCTGGAAGGGACCTTAGAGGCCTTCTAGTTCAGTCCCCTGCTCAAGCAGGAGAACCTATACCATCTCAGACAAGTGACTGTCTAGTCTCTTCTTAAAAATCTCCAGTGATGGAATACCCACAATTTCTGGAGGCAAGCTGTTCCACTGGTTAATTGTCCTCACTGTCAGGAAGTTTCTCCTTAATTCCAGGTTGCTTCTCTCTCTGGTCAGTTTCCAACCATTGTTTCTCGTCCTTCCCTCTGGTGCTTTGGTGAATAATGTGACCCCCTTTGTGGCAGGGGTTGGACAAGAAGACCTCCAAGGTCCCTTCCACTCTATTATTCTGTTAAGTTATGTTAAGTTCTACCTTCTGAAGAGGGCTTCATGAGGAGTGGGTGGCACCAGCATCAATGCTCTGGCATTGTATTGCTTTACCTGTTTCAGTGACAGAAGGCTGGTTAGGGGTCTTCACCTGGCACCCTGGATTTCTAGGGTGCTGTAGTTAAAACCTGATTCTGTAAGAGGCCCTCCCCTGAATTCTCTCAAGTCCTAATCACCAGTTCAAATCCTAACCACTGCCTGGAAAAACTAGAATCTGTGCTTCACGTTTGTTTTTCTCTCCCTTAAGCTAAGAACAGTCACAAAACCAATGAATAGTTTAAAAGGCTGGCTTTTCCCAGGTGTGCTGAGGATCCATCCCATCTGATCAGCAATGGATGATGGGGAAGGTGGCCTCAACATCTCTCTAGGACCAACGAGAAGAACGTCTTGTATTTTTCACTATTGAGCTTAGCGGCTGCTCAAAAACTGGAATTTACAGCAAAATCTGAAGGGGCAAATTCAACACGCTTGAAATTGAGCTGTTTTCTCGGCATTCATTGAAGCCACCACAATTTGGAATCTTCTCTAGAAAAACTTTACAAAGTTTGGTTGGTTCTCTGGTAGAACCCCAAAAAGAAGCAAATCTCATTTCGTTCCCTTTCCTCTCCGGAATAGTAGTCCTTATCCCTTCCTTCCAATTTTTGCAGCCATTACCCTCCTCCCTCAAATACGCTACGCAAAAAACCCATCAGCCCAGATGTTTCCTTTCTCCCAATTTCACAATCCCTGGCCCTAAAACAGAGTCACTCGGCAAGGGAGAGGAACTGAAATCCGAGGAAAATTAGAACCAGCTTTTAGAGGGGGGTAAAAAAATAAAAAAGGCATCATCCCAGAAAATAAGCAATTTAACGACAACGAACTTAAGACACAAAAAGGAATGTTTTTCTCTTGTTTTTTTACCTTTTTCCAAGCTCCCCTGTTTTGTCTCTTGCGATGTTTCAGGAGGAAAACTTCTACAAACATTGCGTTGAGAGAGCAGACAGAGTTAGGCATTCCAAAAACATTAATAATAATAGAAAGTCCTGCCTCCAATTTGGCAGGAGTTGGAGCAAAGCAGTGGGGGGGCGGAGGAGTTGATTTTCTGCAGGCCTCACTAAAAAAAGAGAAATGTTTGGGTTTTTTTCTGTTTAATGGAAGGGGCCTCTGGTATGCAGTGTGCTTTCTGGAAATAAACTGTTCATGTTGTCTCTGACGGGGACATTCAAGGAAAAGACATCCGAAAAGTTTATTCTCGATATTCTGGATTTCCACTGAGGGTTCAGATTGATTGAGTTTTCCTCCTCTCATTAATACACACAGATTTTACATATTTGTTTGTTTAATTGATTTGGGCAGCAGCCCTTCTCGCCAAACAGCTCAGGCTGTGTATAACACCAGAATAATAGAATAACAGAGCTTGGAGGTCATCTAGTCCAACCCCCTGCTCAGGCAGGAGACCCTATACCATTACAGACAAATGGTTATCCAATCACTTCTTAAAAACCATCCAGTGATGAAGCACCCACAACTTCTGGAGGCAAGCCATTCCACTGGTTAATTGTCCTCCCTGTTAGGAAATTTCTCCTTAATTCTAGGTTTCTTCTCTCCTTGATTAGTTGCCATCTGTTGTTCCTTGTCTTGCCTTCTGGTGCTTTGGAGAATAGGCTGACCCCTCTTCTTTGTGGCAGCCCCTCAAATATTGGAACCAATAAACACCAATAAACAATAACTATAAAATCTATGGCCTGGTGGCTTTTTCTTTCAGAGATATTTATTTACCTCAACAGAGAAACAGAATGATCCAGGGCAAAAAAGCAGTAGGAACTGATTGTAAATGACCAGGTTGAGCCTGAAGGAGGCGTCAAGCATGTCATAAGTCACGAATCCCTGCACACTTGCAAGAGATCCAAGTCCAGCCCACCTTGAATGCCTTCCTTATTTCCCGCTCTTTTCCCTTGACTGTTAGTTGGTCAGATTCTTGTAGAGAGCTTAAGCTTGTAATAAATCTTTATACTCATTTGAACTGCCTGAATATCCTGATTTCCCCAGCGTTTGACTGTGACTTCCTGCCAGCTTGATTATGGTTGATTGTCCTCCAGCTGAGACTTATCTCCTCAACTTCCAGAGGACTCGGCCAGGATTGGTCTACTGAAACTCTGGGAAGCAGCACGGCACCACAGCTGCACCGAAGCAATCACAAGTTTGCCAAATTTCAATCCTCTCGGAGTCGTGGGTCTCGGATTTTGAATACGTTTTGTAGGTTAGCTCGATTCAGATACATCAATTCAAAAATGGTGATCCTATGATGCCCTATTTTGCCCAATGGAAGATTACAAGCAATTAAACAGACCCAAGAGTTTGAGTATGATTTAACTGGGTTAATTAAAAACCCAACTCGCCATGAAACAAAATATGAGATGGCAAGGAACGTGGGACATACAAACCAACTCTGGAAGATTATCGAAGCATTGGCCTTGGCAAAGTCTCAGATGATTAAATTAAAAATTGCCCACAGAACCGATTCAGATACTATCCGTAGTCCATGGCATATTTTCACTCCTGCTTTCTTATTTATTTTTTCCCTTCCTTTGTACATACTCACTTAAAAATTCACACCTTCTCTGTCTCCTCCAGGCTGTAAAGCACAGATGGGGAGGAGTAAATAAAATGGAGATTGTCTGTCTCCCCGATGAATAACAGATGAAGCAGAGTCTCTAACCTGACTCACCGGCTGCTTTGGACTGAAGTAATGTCTCTTAACATAGGCAATATATTCTAAAGCATATAGATAAAAAAAACAACCTTGCTCTGCTTTCCTTTTTTTGTAAAATGACTACAAAGGCTAGTTCAGCTTATGTGGGAAGGGAAAACAATCGGTTGGGTCTGTGTGAGGGTGTGTGTTTCGGGTGTCTCAGACAGCAGATGTGGTAGGCTAGAGAAGACATCAAGGTCATCTTTTTGGCCTCCTCCATCTTCGACTTTTATGAGGCCACCTGTCGTCTCCTCCCCTCGCTTTTTGAGCTTGCTACCTTCCGGTGTGGTGATTCTGCTGTCCATCCACCACTGCTCATAGTACACAGAACATAGAATAATAGGATTGGAAGTGATCTTGGAGGTATCCTAGTCCAATCCCCTGCCCATGGCAGGAGACAGCTTCCAATCCGGTCCTCACCCATTCCAAGACTTCAGGAGATGTTCGTCTCATCCTTTCCATTAAGGCAGTGATGGTGAACCTTTTAGAGACCGAGTGCCCAAACTGCAACCCAAAACCCACTTCTTTATCGTCGGGTGCCAGGTGGGCGTGGCCCACTGGGTGGGCGTGGCTGTGGTGGTCATCGCAGATTGGGTGGGCGTGGCCAAGGTGGGCGTGATCATCTCAATATTGCTCGTGGGGAGGGACGCCTGTGGGGGCCGGGCAGGGTTGGGAGAGATCCAGGGGGTCTCTGGCAGGTGGGGTGGTGAGCAGGAGGCTCGTCCTGTGGGGTGAGGCAAGGCAGGGCAGGGGTGCTATTGTCACAGGGCAAGATGAGGCAGGGGCCGGGGCGGCTGCTGCCTGACACCATCGGCCCCTGCACACAGAGGCCAGTGAGCGCATGGGTACTGGGATGCATCCAGCCATGTGGGACCTCGGCGAGTTAGTGGGCAGCTGGTTGAAGAGGGACGGTTGCCATTTCTGGGGCACAGCGAGCGTGCCCACAGAGAGGGCTCTGAGTGCCGCCTCTGGCACGCGTACCACAGGTTCGCCACCACTGCATTAAGGTATCTGTCCATAATTTCTTCTTTCAAACTGTTTCTGCAGAAAAAGGAGTCCACCCCTTCTTTAAACACCTGTTGTTCTCCATCGATGAAAAAATGGATGTCAACCAATCACAGTCCAATTATCTGTGATCTGTTCCTTTAGCTACCAGATCCAAGAGGAGTTTGGGACTGGATTCAATCGATCTCCCCTGTTCTTCCTTTTTTCCCAATTAGAGGAAACAGGCCAAGAGCAGGCCATCCAACTGATGGATGATGCTTAAGAGTTATAGATCCTGCTTGGGCTTCTGAGATGGAGAGTCTAACTTGGGAAGGGATAAGGATTCCTTTAGAGCAGGGGTGTCCATCTTTGGCAACTTTAAGACTTGTGGACTTCAATGCCCAGAATTCCCCATGCTGTAGCCCTTACCCTCGGGAATGTTGCCCCTTCAGAGATCAGGAGGATCCCAATCCTGTTGGTGATCTCTAAGATCATGAAGAAGAGTGGGTTGGGTGCCTAAGCCTGGAATCTCAAGGGTGTAAAGGGCCCCATTGTCTGGCTGTATTAACATCCATAGTAACAATTTTACTTGGTGCTGTATATATCTGTGCACTGATGATGTTACCTAGTTGGGTAATGAAACGTCTGCAAGAAAACAACTAAGCTCAGGAAGCACCAAGGACTCCACAGTTTCCCCCCCACACACCTCCACCTGTTCCTCCTCCACTGCACACGCCCCACTTCCTTCTAGCACTGATGATGTTACCTAGTTGGGTCATGAAATGTCTGCAAGAAAACAACCAAGCTCAGAGGGCACCAAGGACCCCACAATCCTCCTCCTCCTCTTCTCCTCCTTTCCTCTTCCTCCTCCTCCTCCTCTTCCTCTTCTCCACTTCCTTCTAGCACTGATGATGTTACCTAGCTGGGTAATGAAACGTCTGCAAGAAAACAACCAAGCTCAGAGGGCACCAAGGGCACCACAATTCAACCCTGAGCCACGAATATTCTCTTCCAAAGATATATTTATTTTGTTCTCCTTTAATTGTTTGAATTGCTTTTATGTTTTATGATGTACATGGGTTGAGATGGACAGCTGTAGAAATCAAATCAAATCAAATCAAATAATATAAAACCTGCATACTATTACCCCCAAAAATGTCTATGTACACCTTCCTCTAATCAGCAGGAGTCAAAATTGACTGGAAGGCATCTATCTTACCCATAATGGCTGCGTTTCTCGGAAGAGAAATTTGTCATCTTGCCTCGTATTCCTTCTACTTCCCGCTCCCGAAGGGATCCATGCCGTATCCTCCAATTCCAATATCTCATCATAACTAGATTCCCGGGAGAATTATTAGGTGGGAGGGGGCCGAAAGGGAGAGAAATCTATTACTCTCTAATTAATTGGAGGCGGAGATGGCTGCGTTTCCCCTCTCTTTTCTATGTCTTAAAGCGAGAAACTCAATTAAAATGTGTCCACCAGAGACCATTTTTCCATAATGAGAAAGTCTACATTTCTAACGCACCGTAAAAATGTTGATATTGTCTCCCGCTCTGGAGAAAGAAGATTTATGCCATTTCGGTTCCGATAGCCAGACTCAAAATTGAGCAGAGGCTTAAAGAAAAAAAGAAAAGAAAAGAAGAAAAGAAAAAAAGAAAGAAAAGAATAGAAAAGAAAAGAAAAGAAAAAAGAAAAGAAAAGAAAAGAAAAGAAAAGAAAAGAAAAGAAAAGAAAAGAAAGGTGACAAATATATGTTACTTTTTTTGCCCTGGAGGGTTTGGCCTGCAGAATGTCCCCATTTTGCCCTCTGCTCAATTCTTAGATGGTTTCATTTCCTTTAAAATAATGACAAATCCCCTCCCTTGCTTTACAGATAGTCCTCAATTTACGACCCACAATTGGGACCAGAATTTCCATCGCTAAGCAAGGTGGTTTGCTAAGTGAATAGTGCCCGGTTTTGCCACCTTTTTTGGGGGCCACGGTCGTTAAGCAAAGAGCGGCGGTTCTTAAGTGAGGGATGCAGTCATTAAGTGAAGCCGGCTTCCTTTATTGACTCTACCTATCAGGAGCTGTCAATCATGGCCCTGGGATGCTGCAAACTTCATAAATACACACCAGTTAACAACCCTGGGGATGTGGCGACAGTCATAACTGTGAGGACTTCCAAGCACAGGTAATCTCCAACATACGACCGCAACTGAGCTCAAAATTTCTGCTGCCAAGCGAGGCATCTGTTAAGTGAGTTTGCCCCCGTTTT